TTCCTGCCTCAAACGAATTACAGGCTATCTAGGGTCTTTGTTGTAAAATGCTATAACAGTATGTAATTTCTGGATTTTTCAGCCTGAAAATCCAGTAATCTATTGTGGTGCTTCTTTGTCAGGCACTGGGAAAGGAGGTACCAGCATCTGGGGCAAGAAGTTTGGAGACGAATTCAGTGAATACCTAAAGGTATTTCCATGCTCTCAATATGCAGTTATGTTTTCGTAAGATTTTTTTTACAGATTGGAGAACGATCGGTGTCATATTGTACTGTATGAAATAACTTTTGTAATTATGAAGTAGAGTATAATCCTGCAATAAAGGGAGAGAAAGTTTATTATTAAAATAGGCATTTCTGTACTTGACAAGTAAGATTCGAGGGTTTTCATGATTGAGAACAGAAGTAGAAAGAATTTGTAACAAAGTGTTTTTCATGCACTGAAGGCAAAGAAGTAATTTTTCATTGTAAGAGCAATTTTGAAGTGCTACTTACAGACTGTGATGGAATATAGTAGCAACCAAGATTTGTCCTTAGTAATGGTATCGAGGCAGAGTACTGAGTCACAGAACGTTTTGCACAGGTTCAAGTCCTGCTTTCACAGATGTGTATTCAAGTTGAGGATTTTCCCCTCTTTCAGCACAGTGTCCGTGGGGTAGTTTCAATGGCAAACAATGGTCCGAATACCAATGGATCGCAGTTCTTCATCACTTACGGCAAGCAGCCGCACCTAGACATGAAGTACACCGTGTTTGGAAAGTAAGTGATCCAGCTGCATGGCTCCTTATCATAGGGTGTGAAGGACCTGAATGTTCCAGGGCACATGCAGTGCAAATTTAGAAGCTTCTGGTTCTAAAACTCTTTAAATTTGGATGTGCATATGTAAAGGTGTGCTTTTGCACTGTCACCAGAACTAGTTCTCAAAAGTGCTGCTCCATTTTTCTTAGTAGTAGGGAAGTCAATGGAAATGGGCATATTAAAAATTTCCTCAAGAATGGAGCTTTTTATATTCTTGATTTCCCACCCCCCCAGTTATTCCAGCTTGCTTTTTCATCCATGCCCAAACAGATGCAGCCTTATTTTAAGCAGACTCCAGAACACCTGGATACACAATACAAAATGTGGGGCTTCCTGAGAAGCGAGAATGTGATCTGGGACTGGATCTGGGCATGGGTGTGCTGCTGACAGGGTCATGCTTCTGTTGGTGGAACTTCTGTTGGTCAGACAAAACCTGACGGAACTGAGAGGTTGTTTAAGATGCATAACTTTAAAACATTCTTACGTTAATAGACACTACTGATCATATATCACCCTCAAAGCACATTTTTGAGTCTTTCAGATAGTGCTTTTTCTATCTCAAAATCACGGAAATGTCTTGTCTTTTCCTTGTTGTTAAGAAATCTCTAGTGTACAAGTGAATCTGCTGAGAAAAAGATGCCTTTATTAAATGAAGTTTAAATGTTCATCAAAGGAAACTATTGACATATGAAAATGCTCTTTTCTACCACTTGTGTTGTTTATAGGCATCTAAGAATAGGTGTTCCTTTAATTTCTGAGTTTGTTTAGAAGTGAGATTGGAAGTAGGTTTTTTAGATGTCTTTCTTAGAAAAAGAGTAGGCTCTGACAGATGAACTTTGCCAGATTTCCTGTGGCAGTTTAAGATGCTCCTGCCCCAGGTGCAGAATCGGCAGCACAGCTTATGCAGTTCCTGCTGGCCCATGACCCAGCATCCTGGATTGAAAGAGTTGATGAATGACTGAACTGACCTGTGAAGCAAGTTTTCTGCCAAGTCCATTGCTAAGGAATAAACTGCCAAGCTTTACCAGAGCTAGTTATTTGAACAAAAAAAGTAAGAAGTTTATTAGAACAGTCTCTCTTGCCACTTCTTCAGCCTGAACAGGAAATCTGAAAGCTTAAACATA